TCCCTGATTTCTTTAAATGTTTGTTTAATAATACTACTACTAATAGTAATAATAATAATAATAACAATGATGATGATGACGATAGTAATAATTGATATTAATATTAATAACAATAAAAAGTGAAGAAAATTGTGCTGAATGCAAAAAAAAGTTGTGATTTGTTGATCATAATATACGGTAGTATATAGTTAAAGCTTAGTAAGCTATAATTAGGCCTAAGTTGTCCTGGATATTAAGTAGATCCCTGATAAAAGATCATGAGAAATTTGTTGGCGTTTCATTTTGACTATAATGGTAATGTGATGATGATGAATTTTACTATATAAAAGTGTCATTTCCGGACAATTCGAGAGGTACCATTTCCTCAAATTTTCTCACCTCAGCCCCAGCCATGGTGGGGCTGAGGTGTTTGTGAAATCACGTTTTTGAAGTAGGCTATAATTAATGTACATACTCAAAGACAATGTTTTTAAGCTTTGTTTTCTATGGTATACACAAACACATTAATAAGATCTCTATGGTTTTCAAAAATCCCTGATAAAAGATCATGAGAATTTTTTTTGGCGCTTCATTTTGACTAATGGTGATGTGATGATGATGAATTTTACTAAAAGTGTCATTTCTGGCCATCTGGAGGTACTATTTCCACAAATTTTCTCACCTCAGCTCCAACCATTGTGGGGCTGGGGTGGGTGTCGACTCACAAAATGCCCTCCCCTCCACCTTTCAAAACAGATCTGTGCCCTTCCCTGGGTATGACATTATGATTAAACTCCATCGAGTCGGCTCCTGATGTAGTCTTAGTGACTGCTGCTTGTTTTTAGGATGTGATCTGGTTTTTCATGTCCATTTTTCGTGATTATGACTATTCTGGATAAAGAACGTTTTGAGCAGAGGTGGATTCAAGGCACCCCCTCCCCCTTAAAATAAATTCAAATTGAAGTGCGAGAGTGTAATTTCCGGCCATCTAGAGATGCCCTAATCATACATTTTCTTACCTCAGCCCCAACCATGGTGGGGCTGAGGTGGGTGGTTCCTGTGAAAGTCCCTCCCTGAGTCCCTGTTTTACCTCTCTTTCGAATTTCTGAATCTGCCACTGTTGATTTATTATATAATTATTTTTTCGCTTATTTAAAATGCGTCTATTGCAATTTTCACATTATCCCTCTCAAACAGTCCTAAGAACGTTCAGAGTGCGCTACTTCACAGGGGGATTCGCCCCTTGACCCCGCCCCCTTGACCCCGCCGGGGTCATACGTAATTCGCATAACGGCTCCCCCCTTTTCAAAATCCTGGCTACGTCCCTGATATGGTTAGATTGTACAGATCTGTTGCATACAATACAGGTCATGATGATATTAGTTTAGGTTAGGCCTAAATGCAGCATAGACTGTATATACAATACACCACTCATATACATATACATGCATTATATAACTTGGTACATTATAAGTGATTCTGAGAGATAAAATATAAGAATAGCAACAATGTTGAGTATAATTAATAGTAACAATGTTTACTGTATACAATAATTTAGTGTGCCTGTTTGCATTTGATGGGGTATGCATTGTTAATTTTTTAAGTATCTTTAGAATAGATATCTTAAAATCCTCATTAAAAGTAATATTTGAAGCAATAAATAATGTAAGTAAAAATACATAAATACTAAATGTTAGTTCAATTCTTAACGAACATAAAAACATTTCTGATAAAGTAAAATTACTTTTCCTAAGATTGAATAGCATTCAAGTCAGCCAATTATTACAGTAGTGATGGCTGAAATGGGAATGGAATGCGGTGCAATTTCATTTATGAACATCGAAAGTTCTTAAAATTACCGTCTGTACATTTGTAACGTATTATAGCAGGTACACTGTATGGAATATATGCAAATTCAACATTGTCCATGTTGCGTATTTTCCCAAGATGCTTATCTCTCAGTGTTCTCCTTTCGGCCCTAACTTTGCTAGAAACGTCATCACTAATGAATATGTTACTTCCCTTAAATGGATTATTTTTTAGCTTCTTTGGTGCAAGGCGGAGAATGTAACAATGAGACAATAAGATACCGTGCCTTTAGGCACATAATACTATCGAAAGCGAAAGAAATGAATCAAACCCCCAATTGAGCCAGTCCAGCACATACAACCCTCCTCCAGTCTCCCACCAATACAAATTCCTGGATTCGCTGTTGGTGTGGTAAATATGGCCAACAAAATTGAGATTTTGGCAGCCATTTTGCTGACCATGCAATTTTGCAACTGCCAGGTGGTTCAATTTGAATTTTAGCGGTGGTACGGTATTGTAGGGGCTGGTATCTATAATCATAATATAGACTCGGAAAAACTGCTGTTCTGTGTGGACTATTATGTACTTTATGGTTAAAATAAAAATTCGGCGACCATTTTGGCAGCCATCTTAGATTTCTGTGTCTGCTATGGTATGGTTTGAGTTCAGCTCCCCTCAAAAGCGTGTATGCCATAAATTTAACACAATTTTCCTCCAGCAACATAAATAAGCACTTTTTTTTAAAAATTTTGCCATGTCTATAACGACTTGGCCAAATTCTGAATACAAAGAAAAAAAGTGTAAAAAAGATTGAATAGTTTGTAACTTACATCAAATATGTTCAGTGGCATCCATGAACATTTCTGTAAAACCATAAACAGAACGACAGCGCAAATTAGGCAACAAAATAGTGTACGGAAATTCAGATGTAGGCCTCTTTGTTGATGCATTGTTGACTGTTACAGGTTAAACTACTGTTAATTAATATTATTAGTCCAAGCTTGACATAGACACGTCCTACTACTCTGTGTGCTTTTTATCAACTTCCTTTATTCTTAATGCCAAACATAGAGGGCGGTATTGAACATGATTGAATATCATATTGTTATGTCTCTCATTCACTCACTGAGACAAATGAACAACAAAACCACATCTAAGTTATCCAAACCGGTTGTCTTTGTTATCCACCATATTCAGCAACCATCACAACCAACTCGAACTTTCTCTGCTCTTACAATAATAGAGGGTGATATACAACTTTGAGTACACTACATCCCACCTTTTTTCAGATTACTCTATCCAACAATAGCTTAACAAAGAACTCAAAAATTAAATGAAAACCATTAAACCTTTTACAAGCATGTACTGCAAGTCTTTGAAACAAACTGTAAATAGTCTACCAAACCAATATGCATTAATATTGCAAGTTATGTTATTACAATAAACCTTATTCGGAAAAGTGAGTGCTGGTTTTTTTTTTCGTTATCTACTTCACAATGTTATAATGATAGTTAATATATTTACCATATACTGTATACTATATCTGTGTGTATGAATTTTTTTTTTAACCAACATAACAACATCATAAATCACTTTGACTACTTTTGAACATCTTTACAAACTATTATAACACAACATTTTTAATCACTACTACTATTACGTCATCTTTACAAATCGAGTCTAGTATCCGGTTTCTTCCTAATACGCAGAGGATACCTCCTTTGCGGTTCTGGATTTTGGGTCTCATTGATTGTTGGACCCTCCTCATGTACAGTTTCCATTAAGTCATCGAGTGCCGTATCCTCAACTGTGACGTCATCTGTTTGTGGTCTACTACCATAAAACCTCTTCACATGTGTAATATTTCGTTTCCGACGACGCCTGCTTGCATCATTCCGATCACTTATAGTGACTTAATTACCATATCCAGAAACTACGTCATACACTCTAGGTTCAAACTTTGTCGAGAACTTGTCTCTCGCTTCCTGGCGAAGAAGAACACTATCTCCTTGTCTAACATCGCTGTGACGTGCGTTACATTTCACGTCCGTATACTGCCTTGATTTCCACTTCATCAACTGATCTCTATCTTTAACCTCCTCGTCTACAATCACTCTCTCTAATTCTGGTAATTTGGTCCTTAAGGCCCTACCCATTAGCAATTCAGCAGGTGTCTTGCCTGTTGAGGGATGAGGAGTCGTTCTATACACAGCTAAGTATCGTGTAAGCTCTCGTTTCCAATCTTTCTTCATAGTATGCGCTATCTTAAGTCGCTTCAAGATTGATTTATTCTGACGTTCAACCTCCCCATTTGCTTGTGCCCATTTCGGTGTCACCTTCTTATGCTTAATTCCATTTACCTCTACAAAGTCTCTAAACTCTCCTGATATGAATTGTGGGCCATTGTCACTGACAATGACTTGCGGTAAGCCATGTCGCGCAAACATAACTTCTAGCGAACGTACAGTTCTATCAGCTGTTGTACTTCTCATAATGTCTATTTTATAGAACCTACTGTAATAATCAACGACGAGAATGTAATCCCCTGTTGGTAATGGTCCCAGAAAATCTACTCCTACCGATCTCCATAGACCATCTGGAAGCTCGGTACTCATTAAAGGTTCTGGTGGTTCCGCTTGTCCTACCAACTGGCAGCCCGGACATTTCTTTACAAACTCTTCAACATCCTTGTCCATTTTCTGCCACTATACTTTTGTTCTGAGTCTCTGTTTCATGTTAACGATTCCAGGGTGTCCCTCATGGCCAATCTCCATTATAGTCCACCTCAGACTCTTTGGTACAACAATTCTTGCCCCTTCATTACTAGTTTACCTACTACACACAACTCTTGTGCTACGTGCCGATATTCTGGACACTTGTTTCCTTCCCATCTCCCAGTCGCAACACACTCATACAAATCACTCATCTTCTCATCATTTGCACACGCTTCTCCGATCTCATCCATTGTCATAGCTTTGGGAATTGCTTTGACTGACACAAAGTTGACATACTCGTTCATATCGTCGAATGGCAGTTCGTCATTCTTTTGCTGTATTAAACGTGACAAAGAATCAGCTATATTCTTGTTTCCCGGTCTATAGATTACCCTGAAATTGTATGGTTGCAACCGCAACACCCATCGTTCGATTCTTGCACTAGGTCTGGATTTTGACGAGTAAATTACTTCCAATGGCTTATGGTCTGTGACCAGCTCAAATTCCCTTCCAAAAAGGTACATATTAAATTTCTCCACTGCCCATCTAACGCTTCCTTTTCGGTTTGTGAGTACCTTCTCTCTGTATCTGAAAGGCTTTTACTAGCATAACATATAGGTTTCCAGTCACCTTCCTGGAGCTGAAGGAGCACCGCCCAAAGCCCGACTGGACTTGCATCAGCTACTACCCTTAACTTATCAGAATGATTAAAATATGCTAGTGTCTCTTCTACCAACACATTTCGTAGGGCATTAAATGCATCTTGTTGTTCCTTTTCCCATTTAAATGGAACATCCTTTTTCGTCAACCGCCTAAGTGGTTCAGTTTTGGTAGCCAAGTCGGGAATGTACCTAGCACTAAAGTTTACCAACCCTAGAAAACTTCTCACTCCTCTGCTATCTTTTGGTTCTCTGGCTTCTCTTAATGCCCTTACCCTGGCCTCTGTTGGGCCAATCCCCTTTTGTGACAACAGATGTCCCATGAATTCTATTTCACTGCATGTAAACATGCATTTTCTCGGTTTAGAGTTAGCCCTCTGCTCCTTAGGGTTTCTAACACCTTTCTCAGACTTAAGTCATGCTCTCGTGTACTACGGCCATAAACTACAATATCATCAGCGATATTTTGACAATCCTCACAGTTGGCGAGTACTTGTCGAACGACGTGGTGGAATAGCTCGGGGGCTGAATTAATTCCAAACATTAAACGTTTGTATCTGTACAACCCAGCATGAGTGACAAATGTGGTAACCTCCCTTGAGATACCCGGTTTCAATTCCAACTGATGAAATCCTTTGTTCAGATCCAACTTGGTAAATACCTTGTTCCCATTTAATTTACTGATTACTTCATCTACCGTTGGAATAGGATGTCTTACTCTAACAATTTCTTTGTTTGCGCACCTCATGTCCACACACAGACGGATATCCCCATTTGGCTTTGGGATAATAACCACTGGACTCACACAAGGGGTGGGACCCTCTACACATTCTATTATATCCATCTCTTCTAACTCCTTAAGTTTTGCCTCTAGTTTTGGCCTTAAACTATACGGTATTCTTCTACAAGGCTGAGCAATTAGCTTTGCATCTGTCTTCACATGTAACTCAGCCTGGTAGTCTGTCAATTTTCCCACTTTACCACTAAATACCTCTCTGTAGTCATCTCCAATGGAATTTACTGGCAGCGAAATTCTTAGAACCTGCAACTCTATTGAGGTTTTCCTGCCCAATAATGGTCTACCCTGTGCTTCTGCAACTAGAAATGGCACATTATCTACCTTACGACTACCGACCTGTACTGACGTCCAAAACTTTTCTTTTACACCGACAGTATTTTGTGTGCCATATGGTTTCAAACTCTTATTGACTACTTCACTTTTGCAGTCTAACCCCTTTCTCTTTAGTTGTTCCCATAATTGCCTTCAATTATGTTACACGGGGACCCAGAATCTATTAAAACATCCACTAAATGGCCACCAATATTTGCCTTATATACTGGCTCATCATCAGATGTAAAATTTACTGCAATTGTAAATATTTCATGATCATCAGACATATCAATATCATCAACATTAAATACCTTATCACATTTCTTTCTCCCTGGCTGTTTGCCTTTATGTTCATAAGTCACCCTTTTCTCCTTTTTCCCTCTGTTCTTACAAACAACCGAAAAATGTCCAACTTCACCACATGTTCTACACTTTGCTCCTCTTGCTGGGCAAACTTTATCTTTTGCAAAGTGTCCCTGTCTTCCACATTTCCAGCATGTACTTCTTGGAGGTTCCTGATGATTACCAGTAGGCTTCACCATCAATCTATTCACATTTAAGCTCTGTGTCATCTCAGCTGACTGAAGCACCACTAGTTCGTACGAACTTGCTATACCCATGGCTTTCTGAAGGGTAAGTTCATTCCCTTTTTCCAGTAATAACTTTTTAAGCCGTGGAGCAGTACAGCCCTGAATCAACTGGTCCCTCACATGGGTGCTGGTATCTGCACCAAAATTACAATAGGTAGCCTGCCTATTTAGCTTGGCGACAAAAGAGGCTACGGTTTCGCCAGTCTCTTGCACCATTTTCCTAAACTTGTGACGTTCATATGGTTCGTTAGTTTTGGGGGTGAAATATTTATCCAGTTTCCTAATAGCCTTATCGTATGCGTTTAATTGCTGCTGGCCCTCAACTTCCCCTTCGTCAGGCAAAGATAAATCTGTTGGAGTCTTACTCCACCGGCATGTAACAGTACAGCTTCTTTTTGTGTGTTATTGACAATGCCCTTGGCAGCTATCAAATAGCCTATCGCCGTTTTAAACTCACGCCACTGCGTAGGCAGAGTGGTGGGCTCTGCATCTAAATCTAACCTTGGCAAATTTTCACTAAACGTCGTAGAAACAGCCATATTTCTTCTGTTCTATACACCGGCATTTATCTATATATATTCAGGTTTATCCTCGTCGCCAATGTTATGTCTCTCATTCACTCACTGAGAAAAATGAACAACAAAACCACATCTAAGTAATCCAAACCGGTTGTCTTAATTATCCACCATATTCAGCAACCATCACAACCAACTCAAACTTTCTCTGCTCTTACAATAATAGAGGGCGATATACAACTTTGAGTACACTACACATATAACATCATCCTCTTTCAGATATTGTAACTGTATGATTAAACATATTGAATAGTTTCTATTTACAACCTTGTACAGCTTTTCTTTGTATTTTGGAAACTATAAAAAAAAACCAACTAGGGTAATCTGACTTTAAAACAACATATCTCAATTTCATTTGCTGAACTCAATTACTTTTGAAAGTTGTAAACTTATCATTTTTAACCTTTCTGGGATCTTTACTTCTCTCCCTCTTTTTGTGAAAACTTTATGCTTGGATTTGCATTCAGTTGATGTAGGTACGTGTGGTTTATGATCAAGAGTGTCTGAATTATTGGACTGAGTTATATCTCTACGATATTTCTACGGTATACTCGTGTACCTCTTTGTACTTGGTACGATCTCGTTCCTCTGTTAATCTTCGTTACCTTTGCTGGTAACCAACGACTTGAAGTATGCATTCTGACATTATCACCGGCATGCAACTTATTTTTGTCAGTTTTACTTGCTGACCTATCATAATATACTTTGTTACGGATTTGTTTTTGTTTGAGGACTTTTGTAAAATTTACAGTAGGTTTTGATCTCAATTGCTTTGGAGTGTTCGGCAGAGTTGATCTTAATCTACGACCTTGTAGCATTTGGGACGGTGAGGCTAGTCTCTCTGTAATATGAGCTGTCATACCAGGCCAATAGAAAATATCTTTTCCTCGTTTTATACACTTTTCTATACCCAAATGGCTTCTATGAATCTGTCTCATCATATTACATCTCATTGAGTATGGTACAATCAATCGATCGCCTCTTAAAACTAACCCTTCTGATATGTACAGTTCATCTCTTATGTTCCAAAATGGTCTAACTTCTATTGGAATCTTACATTTAGTTTCTGGCCATCCATTCTTAACATATGATTTTAACATTTCAAGGGTTAGATCTTTGTTAGTTTCTTTTTTGAATTCTAGCATGCGAATGTCTTTGATCGGTAAGTTTCTAACGGTATGGACTTCATATTCTTCCATGTCAGATTCTTCATCTGTTACGTTTACTATTGGACTTCTGCTGAAAGTATCGGCAATTATCAATTCGCTGCCCTACGCCATTTAACTTTAAATGTGTACTTTTGCAACTTAAGCATCATTCGCTGTATGTGTGGTGGTGCTGTGTGTAATGGTTTTCTGTATAACGAATCTAACGGTTTGTGGTCTGTTTTCACAGTAACGTCTGTACGTCCATAAATATAATCATGGAACTTGTTACAACCCCAAGTTATGGCTATCATCTCTTTTTCGATTTGTCCATAATTCTTTTCAGATGCAGTGAGACTACGTGATGCACAGGCTACTACTTTATCAGACTGTAATAAACAGGCACCTAAGCCATATCGTGACGCATCAACTGATATTGTTATCGGATCAGTTAGACTATAGTATTTAAGTATTGGTGCTGACACAATGTCATATTTTAATTGCTCGAATGCATCTTGTTGGGGTTTATCCCAATGCCATGCAACTTTCTCTTGTTGCAATAATCTTAATGGCGCTGTTTTTTCAGATAAATTTGGTATAAATATGCCAACATATGTAGCCATACCAAGCCATCGCATTAATTCTTCAACATTTGTGGGTTTGGGGAAGTTCTGTATTGCTTTAACCTTTTCCGGGTCAATTTAAACACCTTTGTCGGAAAATATGTGACTTTGATATTTTACACATTTTACTGCAATGTTACATTTTTCTAAGTTCAGGCCTAAGCCACTTTCTAGAGCTCTATCAAGTACTTTACGGAGAATTTTGTTATGGTCTTCTATGTCTTTACCTGCGATTAAGATGTCATCACGGATTATCTCTACGCCTTTGATGTCTTTGTACATCTTGGTAATTGTACATTCCCACACTTCAGATGCCGATGAAATACCGAAAGGCATGAGTTTGAATTTAAAACGGCCATACAGGGAATTAAACGTAAGCAACTTCGATGTTGCTTCTGAAACTGGTATTTGGTAGAATGCTTGCCCTGCATCTAGGACAGAAAATACAGACTTGCCTTCAAGGCAGGCTGCAACATCTTCTACAGTGCGCATAGGAAAATGTTCGCGCATGATACCCTTATTTAAGTCTTTAGGACCAATACACAAGCGTAGTTTGCCCGATTTCTTTTCAATCACCACTAGGGAATTAACCCATTCAGTTGGTTCTGTTACAGGCTCGATTACGTTTTCTTTAACTAAGTTCTCTAATGCTTCTTTAAGCCGGTTCATCATAGGGTGAGGAATTCTACATGGTGGGTGTACGACAGGGGTGACACTCTCATCCATTTTAGCATCATACATTGCACCTTTAATACAGCCTAACCCACTAAACAATGGTTTGTATTTGGTTTCATGCAAGATTGTTGATGGGTTTACACATTTATCGTCATCTTTGATGTCATTTATACGCTTAATCAAACCTAATTCTACACAGGTACTTAGGCCAATAATACAGTAGGAGCTGCATCTACAATTATAAATTCTGTAGGATACTTTCCTTTATACTCCATCTGGAGTGTCACTTTACCATATGGATATACTTTATGCCCAAAATATCCTACTAGTTTGGCTTTAGTCGGTTTCACTCTCACTTTACTATTTATAACATCAAATACATGTTTTGGCATAGTGTTTACCTCACTACCTGTGTCAAGTTTAAACCCTACTGATTTATGTTCTATTTTAGACATAATGCGCCAGTCTTTCACATTCTGGCTGGATGTTGTTAGCATTGTCGACATTCACCTTAACAGTATTTATAAATAGTTGATTCCATTCTGCTGAGAGTGCTGGGCATTTATCATTATAATGTTTGAAGTGTCCACCTCTGCTACACAGTTGTTTTGTTCCTTGGTAACGCTGAAAATAAACAGCTCCGCGTCTGCGCGTTTGACGGCTGCTGCGTCCGCGCCAACTGTTCCGAGAAAAACTAGGCTTGCCTGGGCCACAATTGTTTTCCTACCTGGTCAATTCTTGATGTGTGATAAGCCTACTGTCTCTTTTATTTTACTTCTCATTTCGTACGTGTTTAGGATTGTTAGTGCCTTTTCTAGTGTCAAATTATCTCCTCATACAATTTGTCTTTTATTTTGTCGTCCTCGCTAATCATGCCTCTTATATTGTTGGTCACAAATAGCAATTTTCTGCAAGTTTCCTCAGTTCGCTTACATACTGTGTGGCAGATTCTGAGGCTTGCTGTTTACGATCATAGAATCTATGTCTTTCTAAGAGCTCATTCTGCTTTGGAATGCAGTGATTTTCAAATTTTTCTAATACGCTATTGAGCTTGAGGTTATCCCCTTCATTAGGCATTTTTCGTTTTGACTACGCGGCCAGTCTACTACGAACTAATGGAGCGTGACGGCAACGCCAAGACACTGTTCGTGTAGTAGACCAAAAGCTGTTTTCGTTTTTTTAAGGCGACTACGACGACGCAGCACACACGTAGGCCTAAGGAGGGGAGTTAGTCGACCATGGTTTTTTTACCAGAGAACAATGTTCCCTTGTTTTATATTTGAAAAAGGAAATGTGAAAAAAAAACTTTAGCCAAATACTGTATACAAAATTAAAAGTTTCTAGTAAACACTGAGTGATGTTTCGCTGTTGGCTAGGATCTAGACCTACCTAGGCTAGGCCCTAGGTGTCAAAAGAGTCGTTACCGGGAGAAGAGGGGTGTCAGGCCTGCTCAGGCAATTTGCCAAATGCAACGATGATGTACAAATAAATAACAATTTTAAACAGAGGTATTTTAATTTATATAGCAAGGCTTGATCCACGATATCAAGGGCGGATGCCCTAGCTAGAGGCACCAGATAATGTGTTTTCTCCTACCCGAAATCCACCCTGACAAGGCTAGGCTAGCCTAGGCCTAAGGCTCTTTTTTCACTATCCCCTGATTTACCTAAATTTATGTTGTGACTATTCATTCCTCATTTATTGCATGTGTATAAATAGGCCTTTATATAAAACATTTAATTACTCACTTGTTTTAATAATTAATTCATTATAAACGAATAATGCTCGATCGCAGAATGCGATGAAAATTGCAACCCCCAACAAAAAAGTTACCAGCAGTTTGCTAAACAATCCGGTGATCTGATTGGTCAGTATTAGGGTAGTCGCCACTACGCCAAATTCAGAAATTGGGGTTGTCGCGGAAGCTGTCACAACGCCGATTTAGCCAGTAAGGTTTGTGAGCATGCGCAGATGTCTGTTACGCTCTATTAGTTCGTAGTAGAATGGCCGCGTAGTCAAAACGAAAAATGCCTAATGTCGAAAGTGAGCGTTTCATAAATCGTCCTACCTTTGGCTCCTATCAAATTCAAGCAGGCACATCACCTTCCGCTTGTCGGGTTTGGCGTCTAGCCCCGTTGCACACATAAACATGTGGAACTCGTTTTTGAAAATCTTCCATTTTTGTGCAACATTGCCTTGAAAATCGAGTTCTCCTGGAGGTCTAAAGCTAATCCATTGTACTTATTGTTTGTTTACTTCTGACACCATGTTACTGGTTAAACTACTGTTAATTAATATTATTAGTCCAAGCTTGACATAGACACGTCCGACTACTCTGTGTGCTGCGTATCAACTTCCTTTATTCATAATGCCAAACATAGAGGGCGGTATTGAACGTGATTGAATATCATATAACATTGACCACCTCGAAAGTAGAGTTCAATAAGGATAGTCTCTTTGTTCGTGGTATCGCAGTGTATGGAGATGCATGTATTACGTGCATGTCTGGTATTTGTGGAATGAAGTACAGTACAGTGTGTTTGTTGCAGATGTGGCGATAGAATTTTGTAAATCGATTAATTAGCATATATATATATATATATGCCAAAACCATCTGTAAAATGTGATTGTAATTGTAAATGTAAAAAGAAAATACAGACAATATGTTATTATTATATATAGTTTTCTCTGCAAATTGATTAACATATTTTTTTAAAACCTGTATATGTAATACTGATTCACAAAACATCTGTAAATCTGTATTACATTATTATACAGGTTTAAAATACAGAAAACTGTATACAATACCTTTCTTGTATGATTTATACATAATTTAACAAACTTAGTTGAAAGTAGTTATCTATGACCATCGGTCATTGAGATATGATATGCTAGAAGGTACCTAGGGTCGGAAGTCAGAAACGTCATTTCCGGTCACTTTTGGACAAACTGCTGCATTAGTGCAAATAGAAACATGCATATTTTGAATAATTAGGTCTCTATGACCAACAGATTTGGAGATATGTTGATATAGATTATGTTGGTTATCTAGGGTTAAATGGCAGAAGTGCCATTTTCGGTCACTTTCACTTTTTAACAAAATCGATTCTAAATAGATAGTCTACTAATATGATATATATATTTTTTTCTCCCCGACGAATTATGTTTTTTCCCACTCTTCTGGGGGTAGGGGGGAAACTAGAGGAGGGGAAAACAAAATATGATATATATTTTTTTTCTCCCCAACGAATTGTGTTTTTTTCCCACTCTTCTGGGGGTAGGGAGAAACTGGGGGGGGGGGGAAACAAAATTTCTAGGGGGAATTTTCCCTGTGCCTCCTGTAGTGCCACCACTGCACATTAAATGCAAATTTAAGAAGCACTAGACATGATTCGTATCATAGTACATTGAGTTTTAATTCATAATACTACTGGTAGCCTAATATACTTTAACTGAAAATCTCACTGGGAACATCTCCCTATGCACGATCGAGAAAGGAATTTTACTGATGTGAGTTAGCCAGATTTTCGTACATTTCATAAAATAAAGGAAATATATATATTTTTAAATGGTGAGGCAGCGAAAATGGATGCGGGAGGTGACAAGAAACTAGTAGGCCTATTTATTTATATATATTTTTTTTTACTTGGCCTTGTATGTTGTTAGGGAAAATATTTGGGAATATTGTTTTAGAAAAGTCATCTTTCTTAATTTACTCCATAAATTGTAAGGAATTGTTTTACTGCCGTATAACCTGCAAAGACCCTTCGGACCAACGGGCCTTCGGACCAATGGGCCTTCGGACCAAAGACCCTTCGGACCAATGGGCCTTCGGACCAAGGACCCTTCGGACCAAAGGTACGCACCCGATGGTGAAGTGCTTCTTTATGAGGCCGATGAACTTTCTGCCGACGTTGATATTGGTATCGAATGGGGATTGAACCATAAGATCTGTCTTTTCGGATTTTTCTGGGTGGTTGGTTTTGTTTATCGAACTTTAACTTACGTTTGTAGCCGCTGTCATTGAGTGCATCTTGGTATGTGTGACCTGCTTGAAGGATTGTTCAGTCGTGCGTTGATGGCTTGTGTACTTGAGTATGGATGGTGGGTGATTTGAGTTCACATTGGCATATAATATATAGGCGTGTCACTTGGCTTCCTGAAGTGTTTATACGACCTTTCTCTGAGGTCAAAATATTACGTCGAGGAAGTTTACTTATTTTTAGTTGGCATCGGCGATAACTTTGAAGTTCAGGGCTTTATATTGATGCAAGATCTTTTCTATTCTTTCGATCTGGGCTAGGCTGTGTTTCGGAAGAAAGCCATGATTTAATAATTAGGGATTCTAAAGAGAATATATAAACAGAAATTGAAATAAAGAAAAAACAGTTAGAACAAATTTATGATAAGGAAACAAAAGGTGCATATGTACGTTCACAAGTAAAGTGGATCGAAGAAGGTGAATGCAGCACCAAATATTTTCTTAGCTTAGAAAAAAATAATGGAAATAAAAAATTTATTAAAAGTTTACAAAAATTAAATGGTGGAGTAATAACAAACTCAAAAGACATCCTTCAAGAAGAGGTTAGCTTTTATGAACAGCTTTATGAAAATAAGGGGATTCCCCTTAGCGATATAAATACCTATCTAAACAAAACAGATATACCTTGTCTAATAGAAGAAGAAAAAATGTTCTGTGCGGGTACTATTACTTTACAAGAGTGCGATACAGCAATACGAAAAATGAAATTAAATAAAGCCCCAGGGTGTGATGGTTTAACAGCAGAGTTCTATAAATATTTTTGGGAAGACATTAAACAATGTGTTTGTAGCGCAATAACTTATAGTTATTTTAAAAACGAAATGAGCAACACGCAACAACGTGGTGTAATTAATCTAATATATAAAAAAGGTGACAAACAATTGCTAGAAAATTTGAGGCCTATCACCCTACTCAATACAGACTACAAAATTTTAACGCACATCCTATGTTCAAGACTCCAGAAAGTAATTTCACTCCTTGTAAACGATGACCAAAAAGGTTATATTAAAGGTCATTCTCTGGTGAAAATATTCGTCCAATCAATGATATTCTTTATTATACTGAAGAGAAGGAATAGACGGTGCCATTTTGTCCCTTGACTTCAGAAAAGCGTTTGACTCAGTGAGTAGAGAATTTATGTTAAGTTTATTAAGAAAATTGAATTTTGGAGTCATTTTGTAAATGGGTGAAAACACTGTATAATAACACCGAGTGCATTATTGTTAATAATGGATGGATATCGAAGAGCTTTAAGATGAAAAGTGGAATAAGACAAGGTTGTCCGCTGTCTGCACTATTATTTATCCTGATCACTACTGAAGTAATGGCTTGTAATATAAGAAACGACATCCATTACAAGGGAATACCAGTACCAAGCCGGAATAATACCGGAATTGAAGAGGTGCGTATTGCTCAGCTTGCTGATGACACGGTGTTGTTTGCTGGAAGTAACAATAGTATAGATATAGGTGTGAATATTGTTAAGGAATTTTGTAAAGTGTCCGGCATGAGTCTTAATGAACATAAAACTAATGCTATGTGGATAGGTAAAAATAGAAATAAAACCAAAAAGCCTGGTAGCTTAAATTGGGTAAATAAACCAATTAAGACATTAGGTATTTATATTGGATACGGCAGCAACTTGTGTAAAGAGTTAAACTGGGATCCTAAAATGATAAACTTTGAAAGACTACCGTACTGAATTCTTGGAAAAGCAGAGACCTTACGTATTTTGGAAAAGTGAGTATTAAAAAGTCTGGCATTGTCTAAGCTAATTTACAAATGCCTCAATTATAGATGTACCAGAACATGTTATTCTAAAAGTTAATAAATTGGCACACACATTTGTATAGAATGGAAAAAATAAAAAGAAAAACATTAATTGGTAAACCACTTGAAGGAGGTATTAACATGCCAGATTTTTCACTACAAGTCAAAGCCCTTAAAATTGCATGGGCGAGAAAACTTCTCTTGAGAAAACATGTAAGGTGGAAACTTTTACCTTTACATTACATTAATAAAATTGGAAATATAAATTTTAGTATTTCCTGCCTTTGCATGAAAAACTGCACGATCTTTCAAAGTATACCATCTTTTTATCTAAAAGTTTTATAGTGTTGTGTTGATTTTAACAAATTCAGCAATGATGTAATTAACCATTACGAACAAATCCTAGAGCAAAATTTATGGGGAAATAAGAATATTACATTAAGTAACAAAGCTCTATTTTTTACAAATTGGATTTCATCGGGGTTAACTAAAGTCAAAAACATAGTAAGTTTTAATCGATTATTTAACCCAACTGAAATCAAAGAGAAACTAAATGTAAAAAGAAACTGGCTCAGTGAATATACTACACTTATTGAAGCAATCCCAAAAGTATGGATAAACACAATAAAGCAATACAATAAAGGTAACGAGCACGTGAGAACGAGTGTACTGCAATCGACAAAATAGCAAGGATGAATACGAAAACTATTTATTTAAATTTTGTAAATAAAATGTTTAGTCCACCTCAGAGCATACTTAAATGGGAGGGTGTATTCGATGATAAAATACAATGGACCAAAGTTTGGAGACACAAAGTAAAAAATGAAAAACTAAAAAATATGCATCCAATTAAATTATAAGTTATTGAATCGAATTGTCCCTACCAATACTAGATTATATAGATGTGTAGAATGCGAAACAACTTCAAATTAAAAATTACTACCAATGGAATCAGCATAAGATGTTATGTAAATTTAATCGTTCAAACGTAGAAAGGATGATAAATGAAACGGTGAAAAAATGGTATAACAGTAGTACAGTAGTAACGGGACGATGACGAGACGTCTATCGAATACGAGAAGAACAACGTCAACGAGTATGAGTACGTGATTCACTGAAACATGAAATAACCATAAAATACAAATAGCATAATGCAATACAATAATGATGAAATTTTAGCTTTAAATTAATAATGCATTCATCCTTGACAATCTTATCTCTTGAAATTAAAGTTTACCTATAATTTAGTATAACAATAATATGCTTTATGTAGCCAGCGTAGGCCTAGCCTAGGCATACAAATAAATGTAAACAACTATACGTCCATGGAAACATGCGTGCGTACACGCGCGGCTGCCGAGACAACCGTCGAAGAAGAAGACGTTAACGTTAGCGTACGCATTCACATCAAAGATACTAGAAATACAAGATAGAGTTCTCGCATTGTAAAAATGAGGCGGAAGTCGTGCCCAACGTAGGCGGCGCCCTTCTTTTTAACCATGCAAGTTTCCTATACTTCGTGCCCAACGTACAGGGCGCCCTCCTGTTGCTAAGTATATCCAGACGCAAAAGGCGCCCTTCCTTTTCCACCAATGGAGAAAAACTTTTTCACTAAGAGGGCGTCCGGCCATGCGATTCTGCGCTGTATTGTTTTTTTATCTTTACTGATTCATGATTATGCTTTAATTGTTTGTGTATTATTTGGATAATAGCAACGATTTCTACCGCCACCAAGGAGGTTATGTATTCACCAATGTCACTGTCTGGGTGTCTATTCCAGT